CATGGATGGGTGGATTTCCTCAATAGAAATAGTTCCTTCTAAACTGTAATTCTAGGTTTATATTGTAGAGAACTTTAGCTAAAACCCCTGGGTTTGCTGCCAGTGTGTTTCAATCAGGGACGACGTGCCAAGAAGCCGTCATGGGACCGTAAAGGCACCCTGGACATGCTGTCTCCTCACCTAACCTTATGTCTTAATCAATTAGTCTCCCACCGTTCATTCTTCCTTATGTAACCTCTGCAAATGCCCTAGACTTTCATTTTCCATATTCCTTGGACATACGGAAGTTGTATTTAATCAACTTATTTCTCCAGTTTTTCAAAAATTACAACTGGGTATATAATGCTCATTTTTATGACTTCTTGAAGGCTGGTATTTTTATATTGCATTTTCTTGTACTTTGTATATAGACCGAAAATAGGCTGGCCTTCCCATACATCATTTGAAATTGCACCAAAGCACCTGGAGGCTGGAGAGGAAATTATAAAAATTCATTGTGGAAATGCTATGCATGTCATAACTTGTGGATTTGTTTTATGATACACGCATCTGTGTGCCGGCCAGGTCAGTTAATGAAGGCAAGAGTAAATCCCAGAAGAAACTCAGCAGTTACAGAGTATGTTCTCTCCGAGAACTGTATTAGTTCCAAGGCGTAGATGTGTGTGTGTGCTTCAGCACATGGCTGTCAGAATGGAAACGGCATCAGATTCCGAGCTTTTATTCTGTTTGATAAAGGCAGACATGTTATGGGACTGAGATGTGATCTCTCGTCTTGATTGACAGAGAAAACAAATTATAGTCCATTGTTTAAGAGGCAGTGAGTCTTTTGGGTGTTTTCGGGTGTTCTGTGTGTCCTCATGCAATCTTTCTGACCTCATTTTACATGGGGCGGGGTGGGGGGGGGAGGAACTCAGCGCAAAGGATGCTGGGATTGGTCCTCCAAGTTAAATTAAACGTTATCTCAAGGACAAAAAAAAAAATGTACTTTAAAAATCTCTGGATTAAAATAAATAAATAAATAATTCAGTTTAAAATTCAACCACAGTTGCAATCTTTGACTCACAGGGAAGCACTGAGTAAAATTAATTACATGGGAGTAAGCTGGGTTTGTGATAGTGCCTGTTTGTACATTGTCCTATCAGAAGTTGTGGGGAATCTCTCTGATTTTAGGAAAATGCAAAGACTAACAGTGACCAGCACAGAATTGCTGGCCTCAGTATTTGTGCTGACGCTGAATGTGGAATGTGCTGTATGAGCTAAGACCATTCCCTTTATACCAACAATTACGGTGAAAGTGGACTATCTGATTTCTTCTTGTAAGTTCTAACATAACTGTATTTTGATAGATCATCAGATATCATTGAACCTTAAGTATGTCATTTATTTTAATTAAGATGGGGGGTGGTATGTGGCTTGGTGAGTTAGAATACTGTGCCAGTAATCAGAAGGGCGCCAGTTCAAATCCCATGGTCAGCAGAGTCATTTCACCGTTACACTTTAACCCCCCAACTAGGCCAGGGCCTGGCTGTTCCTGCTGTCTCATCTTTTATAAAAGTATCTGCTAAATTTTAAAAAAAAAATAGATTAGGAACACATGGTTAAAGTATTCATTTATTCATCTTCTGCCCACTTGTCCTGAGGGTACCTGGGGGGGCCCTGGATGACACACCAGTCCATCACAGGGCACACAGCCATATGTTTCAGGCATGTCTATGGAAGTCCTCTGGAGGAGACCTGGTCAGCATGGGGTGAACATGCATGGTGAGGTAGCTTCCACCCTGCGCCATCCAACTTCGGTGCTGCTGAATTAGAATTTCGAGATCAGTGGCTATTGTTGACACACCACAACAAAATGTGTCCTTTGCATTTCACCTATATGTGACACCCAGAGAGCAGTACCTTGCTCAGGGTACCTCAGTGGTGCCTTGCTGGTCAGGGATTCAAACCTGCAATCTTTCAATTACAAGTGAGCATCCTTAACCATAAAGCCACCACTGCTCCAATTAAATTGCATTGGGAATGGGACTAGAACCCATGACCCTTGGTGCCAGAGACATAGATCAAACCGCTGCACCAATGATGGGCTCATTATAATGAAAATGAGTAGCTGTCATTGTTGACACACAATAACAAAATGTGTCCTCTGCATTTAACCCATGTGGGTCATTATGACCACCCAGTGAGCAGTGCTTGGGGGCAGTACCTTGCTCAGGGTACCACAGTTGTACCTTAGTGGTTGGGGATTCAAACCAGCAACCTTTCAATCACAAGCACTTCCCTAACCATTAGGCCGCCACTGCTTAATGGGCCCGGGTGAGGCTGCATGTGAACAAATGTCTTAATTGTACATCAGTAATTTAGTTTTATGGCTGTGTCAGATTATATGGCTGAGATGAGCAGACTATGTAACAGCGTAAACCAATCAGATGAACTGAGCTGGACCGAATAATATTACAGAGATATAAAATTACATGGTGATTTAAGTGTATAAGCTATAGGGCACATTTGAGCATCAAAGCCCACAAAGGTACTATTCCGATAGCTATAACATGGTGAATGTGACCACTCCTTCCTGGAAAATGTGTGCAGTCATGCACAAGGTCACTCCACAAAGAACTGGAGACCAGTAGCCTACATTTCACTGGAAACCCAAAGGTGGGATCTAGATAAAATGAGGGTATACTATATGCATCATATATGACATGTGCATAATGAATAGTTTTTAATCACTACGTTTAGGGTTATTTTACTTAGATTTTTATGCGAGTATATTGAATTCAAATATTGAATAACTTCAATGCACAAAACTGAAGCATATTCCTTTGGTTCACAAAGGCTCTTTGTTGAAGAGAGTGTAAGGCGATAGCGACGGAGAATAGAGCCCTTTGTTTGTTACTGTGTAGGTATGCTCTGAGGGGGAGTCCGGATTCCCAGGAGGAAACTTCTCGCTTGTCGTCCTCCCACTGGAATAGCTGGGAGCTCCGCCAGTCCAAACGCGCTTTTTCACAGACTAATGCCTCTGGGTCGGTCATACAGATCAGAGCACGTTGACATTATACCGTGAGCTTATGTGGGACCTGCAGTGGACACATGTGAAGAAATATTAAATGTGACCCTCTCTTTTTTCTCTGTCTCCTTGTCACTGTCTCTGTCTGCCCCCCCCCCCCCAGTTCAAATGGTACCGGTGCAGTCAGCATGGAAGCAAGAGGTATAATATTAGCTGTTAGCAAACAGCACAGGTACACAATGAAGAGACAATGAATGACATAAAATACAAAATGAATATTAATAACGGTGATAAATACAGTGAATATTTATAAAGCTACCCAGTTGCATCCTCATTTTGACACATTAATAGCTAAGTCACGTTACAAGTTCACTATCGCTTCCCCCACCCCACCCAACCTAACCTCACCCCACCCACACACACACACCCTCTCTCTCTTACTATTCTAGACTCATACTCATTTTTTCTGTCAGCAGAATGAAATTACTTTGTTTTAGTTTGAAGTTAATGTTGAAAACCAACTTCAGCACGACAGCATCATTTGTGATCCGGCGAAAGATTTCATTGATCAGCGCCGTCATAACGACAGCGGTACTAATTACACGGCGTGCACAATATGGTGCATTGTTACTCACTCTGAATAGAGACCGAAGAAGAAGAGAAAACATCGCAGTGGTGCACGCAAACATTTTGTTCCAGTGCAGGAGTGTTTGAAGCAGCAAATATATGCTTGAAAAATGCTTGGGAGAACATGAACTCTGGATAAAAGTCATAAACTCAGATTGCTGAAATTAAAAGAAAATCTAATTATCTTTTGATATACGACAATAAGAAACAGGACTGTCTGTCTGTGGTTCAGTCCATGTGCTAACTTGAATATCAGTACAGTGTGCAAAAAGCTTCCTCTCGGCAGTGATTTTTGGACAACCTGCATTTGTGGACTGAATTAGTGACATTTGGCCATAAGAGCAGTTATCCTACACCTTCCAGGACAGAAAAGTACAGAAAGCAAGAAAGAATCATTCTCACTTGGCCAGAGCAGGAAACTTCATTCCATCTCTAGGTGCTAGAGAAGTATTGTGCAGTACCTCTAAGAAGGTCCCGTGTGGGATGGTCCTTTTGTGGAGAATCTTTTGTGATAATGACCTTGTTTACTGTCATATTCTCACCTTTGCTACAGTCTCAGTTACATAATATTGTACGGCAGCTAGTTATTTAATGTCCTACTTGTGAATTTCATGATTCATTGTTATCTTGAAACAGCAGATAAGGACTGCACAGTGGTAGTTTTAAGCCAGATACAGTAACCTGACTTCAGGTGCGATATTGCACTTGTGGTGAATTTGGCAAAGTGCATAAAAACAACAGTATATTCCTTTAAACAACTACACTACATAAAACTACAGTGACTTGTAGTGGTAGTGGCTGCTCTCAGTGTTAGTTTGCAGAATCATTCTTTTAATTTGCAGCAGTTCACTTATCAGAAATAAAACTTCATTTCGTTTTTGTCTCCCTGCATTGTTAAATTCTAGGGGAAGTCAATATGTCATGATGAAAAGAATCATATTTCAGTTGCTCTCGCAGCACAAAAGACGCTGCTTCTCTTTCAAATCTCTCCAAGTTTTTCCTTCTGTTCTTACGCCGTGGATGGTTAATTATTGGCAAAGTGCCCCCTCCCTCTCTCCCTCCGTCCCCCCCTCCCTGTTTATCTGCAGCTTGGCGACTAAATAAACAGTTCAGAGAAAGAGAGGGGACTCTGGAGCAGTAAGTCAGGGAAGGGTTAAGAGGGCACTGGGCTCCCGTGTTTGCACAAAGGGAGTTGGTAGCTAGTAGTAGGGACAGCATTATTGGCAGAGTGTTTTCCCTGAAGCCTTTGAAGCTCATGTTTAGGACAAGATGAGCAGCTTCGTAGAAGAAAGACTCTGGGGAACAAAATTATGGGAGCTGCAGCAGATCACTTGAAGAAGAAATGACTGGGATCTTGCATTTACAGGTAAACAGAAGCTGCCACATTTTGACTCATCACATATAAGAGGAAAGGAAGGACAGGACCGGTGTACTGTAAGTAGCGGAAGTGAGGAGTTACTCTAGTCTGTCTATGGATCCATAACCGGGTTCAGTTACGGTAGATGGTAGATGTCAGTCAGGGAGTATGGATTGAAAGCCTATATTCAAAATAAGTATTCAAAATTGGCAACTGCTGTAGAACTAAAGCTTACAGTGATAGTTGTGCTCTGTCCTACGTGTTATCCTGCAAATTACAATTACCAATTACAAATGTTTGTATTATCCATATAGTAGGAATTTTAGATTCCAGTCCTTTGTCTTAGTGATTGATGTCTAATTATTTTATAATGCTTGAAAAGTATCGATTGTGTGGAATTCACTTCGTAAGTGTTTTACGGAACACTCATTACATTAACCTTGGGCAAAGATGAAATGGAATGTTTGGGATGAAACCTGGGCAGTTCGAAGTTGGATGAGCTGTTAAGTGTCTGTATTACTCATGATCAGTGTAATAAGAATTTGTGCAGACTTAGCTGTGGGGAAAACACATTAAAAACTAGAACAAATGACGATGGTTTGGTGCAGGGGGATTTTATTGTATCAAGATCAAAATCATGTTTAATCTCTTACTAGCTCCTGCTCTTTGACTCTTTGTTCACCTGCTGAGTGTTTATGCCATGCATTTTTTTTCTGTTTCTCTTATAAATGATTTACAAGGCCAAGTGACACTGCATTCTGTGACTTTGTGATTCTAATCAAACAGAAAACAACATGAACCTACCGATGCTTTTATATATACAAGAAAACTGAAGTGGGTGGTGCCTCAGCTTAAAATTATGAGAGGTTTCAGGATGATTCATGATTCGATGTATTTTGGCTGATGTTTAATTATGAGGTGGATATTTTTTTACTCGAGTACAGCAAGAACAACACTACATGAAAAGTACAGGTAACAGATCTACAAAATTAAACCAACCAATGGCTCACCATGACAGAAAGCCATACATTTTGCTATGGAAAAACACATATTAACAGGGTTGAGGTTTAATTAAAGTTTAATTAAACTGAGAATTACTAAGAACTGTAATTTAACTGACAGATTACAGGATGCAGAATTACATTAACTGTCTTATATGAAATGATTTTTAATTTGATTCTAATACACTATTTAATTTCAAACCTTTTTCGTTTGATATTAAATAAATACTGTCATTTAACCAGTTCAACAAACTTTCCATGAAAATAAATTGAAAATAATGATTATTAAAACCACCATCATAGGAGCATAAAAGGTGTACAGATGCCAATAAAAATTATTCTAATAGATCTTTTGAAAACGTTATTCCTTTTAGGTTTTTAGAGCTGGGGGTGGGTATTAATCAAACCAGTAACGTTTTCACGTTCTACAAATGATTATAACTATTTTGTATGACACTCAGCTCTACAATTCTGCTATTATTATTTAAATCCAAATTCTGTTTGTTGTTGGGGGTTGTACTTGCATTATACAATGTCAATAAAGGTATTTTATCACGGTACAGTTATATTTAGCTTTGTTCAAGTGAGGCGGATATACTAAATATGTTTAATCTATGTTAGATGTGATAAGGCTGTAAAATTTGAAATCACTGCTGCCAGTTTGATATCTGGGGTACGGTCTCTCATGTTGCACCACATATTTGTATAACGCGAATTTGCTCGTACTGTACTGTACGTCGTTGGTGAATAGGGGACATACGCTTCATTAGTACGTTTGGACGCACCTGAAGGCGTCGGTCCACTTGATGCTCAGCTCAATTAGCGCACATATTTTGTTTTGGAAGCGTGATTTTCATAAGATCTACTCCATTACTGTAAAGATGAATGAGCAAGTTTCAAGAAAGTGTTTTATGAAGCGTACTGGAGAGACTTCAGGCACTGGACGTAAGAAGAGAAACTTTAGCACTCGAAGAAAAGCTTGATCTTACAAGCGTTTTTGACACAGTTAATGTAATTTTTAATAGTCTGGTTAGGTTTTCAGTTGTTTTACCCAAACCATATTATTTCATAGACCCTGTTGTTTTTTATTGTGCGATTTTATATGAAGTTTAATGGGAACAGTGTCGTGTTCGAGCACATACTGTATGCGAGTGTGCTGTTTTTTGGTTTTATTATTTTTTTGACTTCCCCTTCTTACAAAATAAAAGAAAGAGATGCCTTTTGTCTGTTTAAAATCCCACATTATTATTCTGTAATTAACCGTGGTTAATAACAGTGTAATGATAGTGGTGTGCATGCGCCTACACTTTTGTGTTCTTAGAAACGTTATTTTATTATGCTGAGGCACAGTAATTTTCTTAATTTATTAAAAAGTCAAAGAAGTAAAAAGGGACCTGAATGGGTCACAGGGCTTTTTAACGCTGCCGATCTATCAACATACTTACAGCTTCTAATAGCCTACAGGAGTGCATTCAGCCTGGGCAACTTCGAATCGCACTGACCTTAAATATCAAAGGCAGTTTCCAAGTTTATGAGTCACATTTCCTTGGATTGTTTTCCTTCTGACCCGACGTGTACCAGAACCTGCTGGTTTTAATCACACCCGGAAACGATAAGAACGAGATTCGAAGAACACGATTCCGTACAAAGACGGCGCTGTCGCACTCATTTTGGCAGGGAGTGACACTGGCAGCAGGTCAAATGGGCAAGAAGGTCATTACCTTAGTTAATTACCGAAAAGCTCCAAACATGTAACAAGTAAGTTGATTACCTTCAGTAAAATCCCATCATGGAACTGAATAAAACTGTTATTAAATAGAGGATGTAGTGATAAAGTCTGATAAGACAGTCCATTTTAATGTAATCCTCCTTTAAGATAATTATGCATGCGAGCAATTTTAAATTATATTGTCAGAGGGCTTTGCCTTGGAGTGAAAGTGTCAAGCAGATGTAAAATGACTTCTTATCCAGATCATTAAAGCTGGCACTGGCAAAGATGAGTGAGTACAGTCAACTAATGACAAATTATAACAAAATAGACCAGATCTAATTGTGCTGCTCTTTTACCCCATTTTTCTTTCAGTAAAGTTGGCAAACAGTTTTAATAAGTTTCAAGTGTTCAAACACTGATCTTTAATGGCAGATGAGCAATTGCTTGCCATGGACTTCCCCACATGTTCAGGAAATCATCACTGCAACTGTCTGCCGTGTTATGCAACACAACAAGGCAGCGGCTGTTTTTTCCCAGATTAACAGAAATTTGATTTGAAATCAGCTTCCGTCACCCCTTTGTTCTCTGGAGACATTCTTTTTAAAATGTCATATACTGTACTTAAGATCCACAATGTTTGGCTTAAACAAGGCTTAAAGTAATACTTTTTCCATTGATCTTTTGATTTCTTATAAGCCAAAATGTAAATCTGGATGAATATAGTTCTTTATAACAACTGTACATTAATTGGTGTCTCAGTTATTTACAGCTTTCTATGTTTTGGAAGATAGGGAGCGATAAACAATAACTCAGGAATGGTGGCAGATTTTGGCTAAAGTGTCAAACATATCTTTAGGGAGTAGGAATGCGATGTACCCTACGGTGGCAATTAAGTATGAACTAAGTCAGGACCAAGTCTTTGCCTATTTTTCAACGCTGGCATGAGAGGATGCGAAGGGCAGCAGGGAAAACATTTATTTCCATCAGCTTTTTCTGGGCAGGCCATCAGCGGACGCTGAACTCTGCGTTACCCCTCTCCCCGGGTGTCCGCAGTAAGGTGCCCTTTAACGGAGCTGCTTACAGCTCCTGCTCGCAGCCTCAGCCGATTGGCCATTCTGACAGTCCGCCGGGAAATCACTCAATGCCGGCTTTTACCCCGGAGAGCGTCTGTGATGGGGAAGGCTTAGGCCAGTGGAGTTTCCTCTTACGGATTAATGGGAAGGGAAAAAAAAAGTGGAATTCACGCTACTTTCTTGAACTAATAAAATAGTATTTATCAGTACCATTATCAGAATGTTGTTGTTATTATAATCATTAATGTATAATACCAATTCTAAGGCAACTTTGTATATTTTATTACTCTCAATGCCATCTAATGATGAAAGTAAAATAGGATCAAATAAAATGCAATATAATTATCAGCTTAGAGCATCTCCGTAGTAAGCACATGAACGTGATGAAATGGGGCTGTTTAAATACCAAGCAGAAACCAGCTGTGTGTCACCGTGTATAATAGTGGTCTAATCAGCTTTCAGCTAACGCTTGGCCATTCAAATACTCCTGCGACTCTGGCATCTCTGCATCCTTTGTCCATAATGACTTGCTTTTGTTTCTCCGCAGCTGAGTCAGCCATCGCACTACATTAACTCCACAGAATAGAATTATAGTTTTAAATTACATCTTAAGTGTGTACAAACCACTAATCCCGTACTGTTCTCTCTCCCCATCAACGCTGCAGATGGCATGACGTTGCAGCCGCTTCATGTGGGACTAGGACCCACTTGAAAATATTCCAGCCCAAATACTTCACCTTCCCACAATGCCCTGCTTTCTTCGGGGGAAGATAAAGCTTTTGGCTGCATCTTTGGCATTCATGGTACTTCTCACATGGCTATATCTCATTGTTTGGAACTTGGAGAGTAAGTATCACAGGTGTGATGTTTCACTTATTTTTGTGTTTCCTTTGTTTAAATAAAGTTGTGTCTTCTGCCTTAAAATGTGCCGCCTTCTGTATATCAGATGACGAACCCCGTATGCTGTCTCATTTATAATATACAACAAATGGTATGACAGTGCAAAAAGCCAAAACAAAAGAAAAAACTGTAAAGGTGACAGGTGTCTCACTAGGCATTTCAAAAACCACGACATTATTCTGACATCTGTTTCGAGTCGCATTTGATAAATGGTCCTTTCGAAGAAATACAATTATTATTTTAAATATGTCATGTTTTTGACATACAGGAGTCAAGGCAGGCTGTTCCCTATGCACACACCGACAAATTCCACATTCAACTGTTGAAACCTCTCGAGCAAAGAAATGAGGTTGTTATTTCCGATTTATAAGGGTTGATTTGAAGCCTGCCCTCTGAAATGGAATTATGCGGATTTTTCCTACTTCAAAGGAAAAATGAAATATGGCTCCCTAATCTTAAGAGAATCGAACTACGCTGCATTATGCTGGCCTAAAAGGCTGTAGGTAACAGTTCTGTAATGCATATAATATGCGTGTAGATGTTGTGTTACATGCAAGCACGCGTTACAGACTAACGGGCGGTAATGTAATGGGGCTGTGAAGCGATGCTTCGGTGCCTGAGAAAGCATGACAGAACCTGGCAACCCTGACACGCATTTCAACGGCATGTCACCTAATTTGCCAGTACGTGGCCAACGGCGGCTTAGCCGGCTGTGCGGACCAGTGCCAACTACTGGAATTAGCCACTGGAGCACAGAGCACAAGTGCGAGAAGTTTATACGGCTGCTGTTAGTGTTTGCCGTGCTTTAGCATGCGAGATGAGCCGCAGCGGGAGGCCACGGTGATGAGGGTTCGTGGTCACTGGTGGACACATGTTCCACTTACCCTTGTGGAAGCATCACGCTGTCAGAAAGTGCTCAGCAGATGCTCTGCCGTGAAGGGGGTAATGGCGTGGAAACGCATCGCCAGCTGCGGCCGTCGCATGTCCTGCGAGGAGGAGGCTGCTGGTTGAATTCGACCGAAGCTGCAGCTGAACAGCGATGGTCTTCAGCCTCTCCTTTAGCGCCACGCCAGGGCCGAGTGGAAGAACCGTTATCAAAGTGGTTTCTGTAATGTGTTGTGGTTTCACTGATTTTACGTGGAGATTGAGAAGAACAGGAAGAGGGAAAATGCATGATTTAGTAATGCTGCCTCAGCTTTTGCAAACAATATGATACTAAACCTGAAAAAGTAGCAGTCTGATCCAATTACATACTGTAAATCGTTACTTTTCCCTGCATTTGAATGCTTTTCTGACCAGCAGCTGAACTGCATTTTATGTGATACCTGCTACATTTGTTATACACATTTTATTTGTTTTGGAAGCCTAAAATATGTATTAGGAAAGTCCACAGTGACCTGAAATTTATAACAAAAATGCCAAATATCCAGAACAGATAAACTTGCTAAAATTGCAGGGAAAGATGGCGCTGACTATTAAAAAAAAAGAAAAGACAGATATAGCCAGATGCAAGGAAAAAGTACATGACACCTTTTATCCGTTTACAGGTGGGCGGTCCTTACTGCTCTCCCCCTGTCTTGTTGACCAATCAGAGCTCGGGTACTTGGAGCGTGATGTGCTCATATCACGGATGCGAAAGGTGGAGGAGGAGAACCAGCAGCTACGGGCACAGCTCCGCCAGTCCCAGGGTATGGCACACGTGCAGGAGGGGAACTATGGGAACCAGCAGTGGGTGGCATCTGCAGACACGGGCACTGAAGACGGCGAGAATACGGCAGAAGAGCGGGTCAACGGGACTGACTGTGAGCGCCGGCCAATGGTTGAGAAATGTGAGGTGAGGACCACATGGCCATTGGCCGAAGACTGGGAAGTGGGAGGAGTTGGCCACGTTATAAGAGGATGACTAAATCTTGAGTTTGGTATCTAATATAGGGTTATCTCTGTAAACATATTCAAATGAACTGGATAAGCATTGATGCATTACAGTGAATTAAAATAATACAAAAGAGATACAGGAAATTATGTCGGGAAAAAATGAAAGCCTAATGAAATAAAATAACAAATAGTAAAATAAAACCGGATTGTTGTGTACATTAGGGTCATTGCAACTAGGGACCGACATGTTTTGCACGGAGAAGCCTTTCTGCACACGACTGTTGTACTGAGGTATTATTTCTGCACTTGTGGCCTTCCTGTGAGCTTTAACAATTCTGGCCATCCTCCTCTGACCTCTCTCGGTAATAATATTCTATCTTTGGTTGGATGGTTTTTGTTCATCACACTGTTGTCTATAAACTGTAGACACCGTTGTTTGTGAAAATCCCTGGATGGTGGCTGTTCCTGAGATTCTGGCACTGCCACACTTACGTCGCGTTTAAAGTCACATTGATCACGTACATTAGCTGTTCTAATGCTTAGCTGCACAGTAGCTAAATCTCTTGACCCTGTCTGCCTGTTGCATAATTGCACTCACTTGATTCACTGATTCGCATTAACAAGCATATGTGTACAATAAACTGGCCCCTGAGTGTATATTGTGGAAAAAAAAGTTGGTATACTTTTAAGAAGTACTCCGCTACAATTCACTGTCAACAAGTTGTTAAACTGGCTCATTAATAAAGGAAAGGCAGTTCCCCCCTGAAATGCTTCCTGGTAGAGGCAGGATCCCCAAAGTGAGTTTCTCAGAAGCAGATGTTTGATCGATAAGCCATTCTAGTATGACGAGTCTCCTCAAGCCTGTGAAAGCACTTGGGGTTAAACACAGCCAGGAATGCAGCTTCTCAGTCCTATTGAAATAAGCCACCAGATAACGATCTCCAAGCATGCAGAGTCTTGGCTAAAAGAAGTTTTAACTCTCGCAATCACCTAAATGCATTCATGGACCTCGACCCAGAATTCTCTGGGGTGCGACCAGAGTACATGGATGAGATTATCCAACGCCTTCAGCAATCTGGTGTGTACTTTACACCCAAGCTGTACAGCTTTGATAAGAGTCAAGTATATAAATAATTCAAGATTTTTAACTGTATATTTATTGTATGAATTTTGCCTCACATTTTCCCTTGGTTCTTACAGTAACGCTGGGTTTCTACCGCTGTCACTAAATTATTTACACCATGGTCTTACATTCTATGATTTGATATATACACTAATCAGCCATATCATTAAAACCACTGACAAGTGTAGTGAGTAACATCAATTATCTCGTTGCAATAGCACCTGTCAAGGGTGCTACTATATATTAGGAAAGTGAAAAGTTCGTGAAGTCGATGCATTTGGAACAGGAAAAATGGGCAAGTGTAAGGATCTGAGAGACTTTGACAAGGGTCAGATTGTGATGGTTAGATGACTGTGTCAGAGCATCTCCAAAACAGCAGGTCCTATCGGGTGTTCCCGGTATGCAGTGGTCAGTATCTACCAAAAGTGGTCCAAGGAAGACCAACCGGTGAACCGGCAATGGGGTCATTAGCGGCCAAGGCTCACTGATGCCCATGGGGAGTGAAGGCCAGCCCTTCTGGTCCGATCCCACAGGAGAACTACTGCAGCACAAGTTTATGAAATAGTTAATGATGATAGGAAGCTGTCAGAAGACACAGTACGTTGCATCTTGCTGTGTATGGGGCTGCCTGGCCGCAGACTGGTCAGAGGACCCATGCTGACCCCTGTCCACCACCAAAAGCGCTACAATGGGCATGTGGGCATCAGAACTGGACCATAGAGCAATGGAAGAAGGTGGTCTGGTACGATTAGCCACGTTTACTGTTACATCATGTGGACGGCCAGGTGCATGTGCATCATTTACATGGGGAAGAGATGATACCAGGATGCTCTATGTCAAGATGGCAAGACGTTGGAGGCAGTGTGATGCTCTGGGCAATGTTCTGCTGGGAAACCTTGTGTCCTGGCATTCATGTGGATGTTTCATTGACTTATACCACCTACCTAAACATTGTTGCAGACAAAATATACCCCTTCATGGCAACGGTATTCCACAATGGTAATTGCTCAGGAATGGTTTGAGGAACATGGAAAAGAGTTCAAGGTGTTGGCCTGGCTTCCAAATTGCCTTCAACTCAATCCGATCGAGGATCTGTGGGTTGTGCTGCACAAACATGTCCCATCCACAGAGGCCCCACCTCGTGACCTGTGAGACTTACAGCGCTCTGCTGCTAATATCTTGGGCCCACAGGACATCTTCAGAAGTCTTGTGGAGTCCATGCCTTGATGGGTCAGAGATGTTTTGGCAGCACAAGGGGGACCTACACGATATTACGCAGGGGGTTTTAATGTACTGGGGGATCTGTGTGTTGTGTGTGTGTGTGTGTGTGTGTGTGTGTGTGTGTGGGAGGCAGGCTGGTGATTCCAGGATGAGGGGGAAAAAAAATCAGGTGATGTGTGAAACACACTACATTTTTGCCTCTGGAGAGACCACGCTCCCAGACCTTGTTGCTCAATTTGCAGACCAGACGCCTGTCTTTTTCCCTTGTGCTCAACCTTAAGTAGCTGCCCTTCAAGTATGTCTTTTTCTGCCGGTTTCTTAAATCCCAAACTTAAATTAAGCCCCTCTCCTGTTCTCTTGTTCCCTTGTCAGTTGGATCTGCTCGTTGTCCCAACTCGTGTCAAAGATCTGAGACATCATTCTGTTTGTGATCTATAATAGCAGATTCATGGGGTGTGAAGGAAAAATCTACATCTTACCTCATGAAAGAGCACGAGTGCTACATTTTTAAATATGGGGAAGAGGCAGCTATTGGCTGAGTTGCTGCTTCCAGTTGTGTACACAACAATGAGTGATTATTGAAAATCTGTCAAACAGCAAAATATTTTGACATAAGCAATATGTACCTTGACTTGACATTGTATTTGTTTCTGGGTGGGAGGTGACCACATTTTATTGATGAATGGCTGAACACTTTCAGGGTGGTTCCTCTGTTAAGGAAAACAAAAGAAATGATGCTGAAGATGAGTGTACGATAAAATGTGGGTATGTGTGGGAACAATGAAAAGAGAGGGAGAATGCTCTGAGCTAATGAGGGTGCTGTACTGTCAATATCTTACCTGTATATTTGCAGCTTCTTTCCGATAGTTTGTGCGAAACTATCATCACTACTAGTACAGAGATTCACTTCAAGGTGCATAAGAATAGATGACAAGAAAAATAATATGAATAGAACTATTGTAAAGTAATATTAATTATACCTCATCAGTATTCTTACTTGATCAGTATCATATATAATCTAATTTCTATCATCCATCCATTTTCCCGCTCATCTAGAGCCTATCCTGGGAGCTACGGACATAACAACTTATTAAGTTTTGTTCTATACAGCACCTTTTGTGTGAATGTGCCCTGCGATGGGTTTGCGCCCCATCTTGGGTTGTTCCCTGCATTGTGCCCGTAGCCTCTGGGGTAGGGGCCGAGCCCCCATGACCACGAACAGGATAAGCGGTTACAGAAAATGGATGGATGGATAGATGGGACGGATGGATGGATGGATGGGTGGATGGATGGATAGCACCTTTCACAACAGATATGCCCTAAGGCGCTTTGCATGGGGTGTGTTGTAATGCATTGTTACATCATTCATAAAGAATAATGCAAAAACAGGTAAAAGGGAAGAGAAAAAAAGAAAGAATCAAAGAATGAAATCCACCTCTTTTCTAACTGTTCCGATACTCTGCTGCAGTGCTGTGTAGGGACAACAGTGAGACATTTAGCAGTGCATAAATATATTTAAAGTGCAGTGCCTGCTTTTCGTCCTGAGAGTGTTGATGGCCAGTGATAGGGTGTTTTTTATCTTAATAGCACTCAAAAGGTCCGGGGAAGAAAAATCAATAGGCGATTACTGTCCACTATTTGAGGCCTGCTTGCTCAGTGATCGTGTTCGGTGTAGGTCCTGTGTACTGGAAGAATCTGGCTTTAATGATAGCTAAGTTTTAGAGGTGTACAGACGAAAGAACAGCTGACATCTTTTTGTATCACTTTAAGTTTATTTTGTCCAGAAAAGTATTGACATTCCCTGCCTCAGTGCCCTCTGGGACTCCAGTGAAACAAAGATGGTTACATCTACTTCTGTTCTTGGTCGTGAAGAGATTTAATCTCCTTCCTTTCCCATAGGAGTTAAATTTTAAGTGTTACAGTATTTAGAATGTTCTGTTAACCACACTTGTTGGTGTGTTTATTCTTGAGAGGATGGCTGAATTTTTCCACTGTTTAAGCGGAATCTCCACGATAATCTCATTTGGTGGTTCTTCCCTGTTACCTGAGAATGTTTTTTTCACCACTGTGGTATATATGCTGCCCCAGCCTTTAGGGTAATAGTTCTTTGGTTTACTTGAAAGTCGGTCTACGCTATTTGTAATTAAACATATGTAAAATAACGTGTCTCGTTATTATCTTGTCTTATAATATCACAATGATAGATTCCTAATCCCTACCTTTGAGCCATTTCTTTCATTATGTTCAGATCTATGGTTCCTATTATCTGTGGAGTATAAAGAAAACAGCGGCTCTTAGGAAGTATGTTTGCAGACTATCATGCTAAAATGGCACTAGATCTCATGTATGGAGCCCCTTTAAAGGTGCTTCTTTTAATGAGTTGGGAGGCAGAATCTTCACTGCTTTCTCTTCCTTCTCAGGTAATCCACGTCGCGTGCGTGTGCGCCGGTCACAATGCCAGTCGAGATGTGGTCACCCTGGTCAAATCCATACTGTTCCACAGGTGAGGGATCAAGACCTTGTTGTGAGTCAGTAATTGACTTTGATGCAGTTTAATGACTAAGTCCCGGGATCCTTTCGAACTGTTGCGTGTGAGACAGCACAAACACAAGCGTCGAGTCTCCTTCCTTCTGTCGCTTTTCTCAGGAGGAATCCCCTCCACTTTCACTTCATCACGGACGCGGTCGCCCACCAAATCCTCAGCTCCCTCTTTGCGTCCTGGATGGTGCCGTCCGTGCTGGTCAGCTTCTACGACGCAGATGATCTGAAGGTAGTTAAGTCTTTCCCAATTATCAGTCCATTTTAAAATACTTTGGAACCGTCAAGACACCCTTGATAAAATCAGTTTCAATACAGCTTTTACAGGAGTACATTTTTGCTTTCTAGAATGTTTTTTGGTAACACTTTCTATGAAGCCCATATTCATAAAGTCTAATAACTGTTCTTATAATTCATTGTAACACATTCATAAAATATTATAAACACGGCTATACAATATTTACAAAAAGGCATAACACCTTATAGCCATGTTTCTCATGCATTACAAAAGGTCTATGAAGGTCTCATCTATACTGCACTCTGAATAACTTTATAATGCATTATAATGGTAGGTATAGGAAGAAAGCTTTGTGCTGCATTTTGAAGGTATTTATAGTGCATTATAGATGAGAGCTTCATAGAGCATTCATAATGCATAATACACATGACTATAATATGTTATGCCTTTTTTATAAATAGTAATAGCTGGGTTTATAATACTTTGTGAATGCATTATAATGCATTATGAAGGTATGTCTTGGGCAGTATAATGACTGCTGTGTTACTGTTTTTTTATACCAGCTGCCGTTAAGATCTTCCTAATGGCTTCTGATGGCAAACTTTCTTTCTATGCAGTCAGAGGTGTCCTGGATCCCCAACAAGCACTACTCAGGGATATACGGTCTGATGAAGCTCACCCTGACCAAAGCACTTCCTACCGACCTCACCAAAGTCATCGTCCTGGACACGGACATCACCTTCGCCACTGATATTGCTGAGCTCTGGGCTGTCTTCAGGAAGTTTGCAGGTTCAGTATGAGTGCTGCATACCCAAGCGAAGAGCATGAAATCAGTAGGTCGTCTGCACTATACTGGGCTATCAAGTGAACAACAGATGATTCATTCCATAGTGCTTCAGAATCCAGGCTTCACTTGGACTGTGAGTTTTCTGAGTACAAACAAAATTAAATGAAACAAGCCACCCTTAAAAACTATAGCATTTTCTTTTGGCATCACCTTTGTATTCTGTTTGGGTCTGAAGTTTCCTTCACCATCATAATAAGCCTAAAATAATACTCATATTTTCTGTAATTTCATGGCATTGCCACTGTACCTACTGCTTGTTACAAAACATCTTAGACTGGGGTCTGTGTATAGACTGGGCTAGTCACTGAAAATATTCTGCTTGCAGACAAGCAGGTAATTGGACTGGTGGAGAATCAGAGTGACTGGTATCTGGGAAACCTCTGGAAGAATCATAAGCCTTGGCCTGCCCTTGGACGCGGATTCAACACGGGTCGGTATTAAATCCTGTGAAATCTCCTCCTGTGGGGGCAGGCTATTGTGGTTGTGCTCAGTGTACAAAACAGGCAGACAGTCATCTAAAGAAAGAGTGTGATATGGGTCCCAGTGTGGTCTATGGGGTCGTCGCAGGGGTCATTCTGTTGCTGCTGGAGAGGCTGCGTGGGATTGGCTGGGAGCAGATGTGGCGGCTGACTGCGGAGAGGGAGCTTATGAGCATGCTCTCAACGTCACTGGCCGACCAGGTCAGTCACAGCGTTGCTCCTCATGGGTCAATGTCCAGCAAGTCAAATTGTTCCGATAATGAGCTACTTAGCTAACAACGCTGTTTCGCCCATCTGTTCATGTTATGTGTACTAATTAACCTTAACCAATGATTATTCTTGTATTAAGACCTAAGATCCTTTTACACTGATGCCATATATGATCACAATTATGAAGGACTGAAAATATAAGTCAGGGATTGACTTATTTTATCAGATTCAAGTTTTCCAAACTGAAATCAAATCGAATTGTATAAGTTTGTTAGAAATGTTTTGCAAGCACTGAAAGTAAGCTGTCAGAGATGTATATAAGCAGCCATCCTGCGATGATTGGGTTACCTTCCTCCGATTCTCCTTAGCAAATCAGCTTTAAATTCCTCATAGGATTAGGGAAAAAAAGCCAGCTCTGTTTAAACCTGACAAGCTGCTTTTCTGTACATCTACACGAAAGAAGCAGGTACCTGAACTATAAATATATGATTATTTGTAAAATGTTCATGTGTTGTATTAGTCACTTTTTAAGTAACGTCGAATGTTGCTTTCAAGAGTCTCCTTGGAAAATAGTCCCGTTTTTTTCTCTTCACTTGCTTCTCTCTCATCTGATTAGCTAACAGCTAATTGGGAATATAACACAGTCTTTTACCCGGCTAGCTACACTAATGGCATAAAGGAAAATTTGTTTTATAAAAGCTAAATAGATTTGGTCAATCAGGAAGGTAAAATGTTAAAAATGTTTATGACCACAAGACAAATTCAAAAATATTTAACCAAAAATTCAACAATAATCCAGCTCAAATCCTAACTGTTGGTGGTCTGTCCATTTCCATCCTATGAACTATTTGAAAATCCAGAGCTGGAGTATATTGGTAGAGGGCCAGTGCTATTGTGCATTGGGCGAACAGCCTATATTGGATTATATTATATATTTCTGCACATAATAGAAAACCATGTTGGATGCTTGTGTTGCATTTTTTCTATAATTATTTTTAATGTTAAAAATGATTTATTTAAAATTTTAAGAATGAAATTGAACAACGAAACATCTGGGTGGTTGAGAGAATGATGTTTATAGAACGGTATTAGTGACTGTTTACGGGTTCAAGTTGTTTCACAGACGGACCCAATATTGTAAACTTGTGTAAGAGGCATCTATACCTGTAATTAAACCTGTAAATACATTTCTTACAGTAATGTGAATTCTGTTGTGTGCAGGACATATTTAATGCGTTTATCAAGCAAAACCCAGTCCTGGTGCACCAGCTTCCCTGTTTCTGGAACGTTCAGCTGTCCGACCACACGCGCTCAGAACAGTGCTACACCGAGGTGTCCGACCTCAAGGTAGGTGCACGTGTACTTCGAGAGATTTAGTAGTGATGTAGAGGTCTCAGCTGAGCATTTAGAATACTGGGCACACAGTCAAAAAGCGCTGGGTTTTACTGATATCGCATAATTAAATGACGTACTTCACATTTTAGGAAGTTAATAATGTATGCTATTACAGAAGGCAAATAAATCAATCCTACAGGCCAAGGCTGTTCAAATCACGGTCCTCAAGGTCTGAGCCCTGCTGATTTCCCAGACTTCCTTTACCTGTCAGCCAGGTGTGAAGCCTCTGTGGCCAATCAGAATCAGTGATTATTAAATTAACTACAGTACTTGGCAGAACTGAAAACACGGCCTGGATTTGGAATTGAGGGCCAGTCTTTTCACACCCCCGTTCTCTGTTCACCATCTGGGGCC